GCAAGTGACATCGTGGTTGGGGCAACACGACCTTCAATGTAGTGAAAGGTCACCTTGTAGTATCATAGGTGGGGTAGAATTTATGTGGGGCGCCTTCTGTCCAGTGGTAGGCACATGCGTGTTTGTCTTGAATAGACCCCATCGCATGCCCAAACCGTAGCAATTACTAACTGCACGAGCTACTTATTGGACCTCTCGAAGCAGCACGCACGAAATGGTATTAAATGCCGAAAGGCAACCTCAACATGGTTGCCAAGTCGGCTACTGGGCACCAGACAACTTTCGTGGACAGAATACAAAATTATTCTACCCTCATCTGGATGCGACGCAATGGGCAGAACGCAATGGTAGGTCTGCTAACCAACCTTATTTTAGATTCAGGATCAAGAAAGTGTTTCCGACATTTCAATTCGTACCTTCACATCTAGGAACAAGTCTGGTTGTCCTTGGAGACGCAAAGATACATCGTGCTGCTTGTGGAAAAACAAAAGAAAACAGTGAGCAGTCGATGGTACTGGAAGTGCTGTGAAAGGCTGAAAAAATAGTAAAGCATCCCTATGTTGAGCGAAATCAATCCGTGGATCCCCAAAAGGAAAGCCAGTGCATCTAACCCCCCACTGTCCCCAACTGTGCAACTACGTACTCCTACACAGCCAACGACACTCCATTAACCGACAAAGGAAGGGAGAAAAAAAACACAACTCTACCCACAACTGTTGACAGAGCGAACCGACGGAATGGCGCAAGCGGGTCAGCTCGAGCGAACAACGTACCACAGCATCTGAGACGTATTTTAACAACATCCGAGTCCCCCAACAAATATGGCTATGATTGAATAAAGGTCAGCCGGACCCGGCCAAACTGGTCGAATGATCGCATCAGAGAGTTCTCGCAGAAGCATCTGCCGCAGAACCAAACCTCAGCCTGGCAATTCTGTACTTTTTCCAAGCCATGGCCTCGAACACGCTTGACCATGTTTGCTACTGACCGGTGGTTTATTGCCTAATTCTCGGTCTCGTTGATCAGAGTTACGATGAACGCAACGCGGTAAAATTTCATGACATTCAACATGTGCAGAAACTTTTTCTTCTTCGCGTGGTTTTGCTCGTGCGCGTTGAGGTTGACCCCCGACAGCTGGGCACATGTGTCTATCCCACCGTACTTTTGGCGGCAGTCATCCCCGTGGTTGCAGTCTTGCAGGGTGTCTTGCCCGTAGTAAGGCCAGGCGTTGCTTCCCAAGGCGTGTGTTCTGCGCGCCGTCGTCGTGGGGTCCTCCTCCAGCGGTTGGATGTCGAACGAAAGGCCATACTCTTCCACGATGCCATTGATGTCAGCGCGTGTCCCCGGTTGATGGTGAGCCACCTGAATCTGAAGGGCTTTCGTACGCTGCACCGCCGACCCGAAGAATGCTCCTGAGCGCACAGCCAGTTCTGTGAGGACGAACAGAGATCACATACATAAAGACGGCATGCCATGTGTTGGCTCATGAAAACGTTTTGATAAAGGACTGATCATTTTTGGGGGCCTGGAGGTAACGAACGACATGTACATGTACAATACCGGCACCAACCTTGACAGAATATGGCAAAATGTACACAGTAGAAGGTAGGTCCTCAGGTGATTGGACCAACATGACTAGCCGTAACACCTACCGCAAGCAAGTGCCCACTTGCCCGTGCCTGCCGTTTCCTTGCGCGCTCGTTGGCAGGTTGAAGTCCACTCGCGATGGACTCCTCCTTGGCCTGATTAAGATGTCAGGGGTCCCGAAGAAGGGGACGGAAAACAAACCGTGTGGTCGAAGTACTCAAAAAAGTTATTTTGGTTACCGCAATGAGCATGCTTCAATGCATTTAGGCAGAAACTTATTTTCAGATATAATACAACAATGCTGGGTAGTCTTGTTGACTGCCATCAACTCATGAAATTCGAGCACTGCTGCCATTTAATATGCAACGCTGCCATTTAATATGCAACGAAGTGCATGCGTTGAATGGAAGAGGTGTGGTGGTTTTAGCGGTGGACACAGAGCATGCGGATGTCGTTACCAGCATGCGAGAAAGGTGTTCTCGTTCCCCTCCAAATCACAGCAACACGTGAGTAATATGCCAATATATTAGCAGTGATCAACCCATACTCCGGATTGAACAGTAACATTACACGAAACAAGGTACGCTTCGCCGTTAAAATAAATCAAATCAACCGGCTACGCAGACACGGAAGACGGATTCAACGTTAGGTGGAAGAACAAAACAATGGAGGGAGAGCGATGACCAATGAGGAACGCCGTACACAAAAGCGACAAAAGTATTCAAAACAAATGCAGTTGAGCAACGGAGCAACGGACACGCACGAATACTGAGAAGGCTGAAAAAACACAACGCACAACAACCCACTACGTAAGCCATGCAAAGGAGACGCACTTACCCGGGCGTAGGTCAAAACCAGGTCGTCGAGCCCGCGAGTCGAAGGTCATCCTGCCCAACCTCAGGTTCGCAAAGATGACGACAGAAGGCAGGAAGTTCCGGAGCCTTGCCGATGGTTGACCCAGTCGCCACTGCGAGAACGCGTGTGGAGAACACGCTCTGCGCCGACAAGGTCTGCAGCACCGAGCCCACAACCACCTGTTATTCCTCGACAAGTGTTGTTGGCGGGAGCTCCTTGTCTTGTCCGTCTCTGATGAACGTCACGAGCTTGGTGAGGCGCACGTTCAGAACAGCCACACTAGGCGGAGCTAGAGGAGCCGGAAGAGGTCGACGGTGCTTATGCTTTGGGGAAGGACGCGAACGGTGTGCTCGTCGAGAACAGTTGTCCAGCACGTGCTGGGAAGAGGCCAACTTTTCCGACGACGAGCTTGGGCTAGATGGCACGGAAGAAGTGTTGTCCACGCGGAGGGCACAGGGATATGATCGCGCCGCCGCCATGCTCGCATCTATCGTCGCGCTTTCGGCGCGTAGGCAGAGTGGGCGGGGGTCGTGTGGCACGGGCGACGCAGCGCTCTCCCTCCAATCAAACCCAGAACGTCGTTCCTCGAAGCGCACGCCACTAAACCGAAGCGCCGGGCAGATATCAGGGATACGTTGCGTTCAGCATGGTCAATACACGCGACAAAGTAGCAGCAGTATGTGGTCGAACCGCGTGGTTACTTGCCAGTGCCTTTTGATGAACTTGCCCGACGTACCGTAAATGCGCGTCGCTCTTCGTCCGACTCCGCCACCATTTCGTATTGAATTCGCGGATCGCACGCACCATGCATACTGCTTGTCCAATGGAGTGACATCAAACAGGTTGTTCAGTTCGCGGGAAACAACATAAAACATCTCACAGAACCCGCTTTGGCGATGTGCTGCTGAGGCGTTTACCCCCTTTGGGTGGACTGTCAGATTTATTTTGTGCAGAGAAAGACACCAGTGTACTTCTTTCTGCACACGCAACAGCTATCTCCACCTGTAGGCCATGAGGGAAGCCGGCGACAGGGTGGTGCCCGTAGACAGGGTCGTAGCAGTGTTGATGGGTGGTTGCGCTGCGGTCAGTAGGGCAGGTTAGCTGTGTAAATTTTGAAATGATGAGTCGTCTAGCTGCCTCAACAAGTCTATTCTCGGTATATTGTAAATGATACCTGGTAGTCCAGAGAGGGCGAAATGATCAGTGAAGACCCATAGCTGGTATTTGTACTTCTTCTCTGTTCTGTCTCCCCCCAAAATGTGCCCTGCCAGCTCTCTAGAGCTCCTGTGTTTTTCAAACAACAAGCACACCCACCAGCACACACCTGTACCTCGTGGTTTCTTAGGTTCGGGCGACACTGTGTGTGGCGCTACGAGCGTGGATGTGTTGCTGATTGGTTTACTCGTCTACAGCAGTAGTATAGTGTTGTAGCGTTGTAGCTGCTGACACGATGATTGCTGGATCTTGGGAACGATTTTCAAATTGTTGGAAGATGCACCATACCACACGATATCCTCGAGATGTGGGCGTCCGCAAGGCTTGCAATACCGCTCCCCTTTGCTGCCCTGTGCTCTTTGCAGTGGCTTTCTACGTTCGGGTGAGGATGGGTATTTGTGGTGCTACGAAAGAACACGTATGTGTATTTACGTATGTACCCACACGTACAGTACAGACGTTGAAAGATTCATGATTTGGCATTGATTGGCCCCATTCCCGAGACCCTGATCTTACCCGCTGTCACTGACGTCTCTTCATTACTCAGCCGGCTAGCGCGGGTGCCAATGATCTAGACACACCTACCTATGGACTTCCCAATACCCGGCGCGGAGGGCGGCAACTCTACGATCTGCCACTACACCAGCATTTGCAAATGATCAATCAATGATCAGTCAGAACGCCTGGAGACTCAGGGTTAAGTGTCAGTGGAAGGGGAAGATTTGAGTTGTCGTGAAAAGATATGCACTACATAGTGACCTGCGTGTTGGCTTCCCTACCGGCCGTTCGGCTACTTCATCTACATTCATGTCCGTGTGACTGTTGTAATGAGAGAGAAGTAACTAACCCATGAAGAGAGCTCTCGACGTGATCTGATTCCGAAAACCTGTGGTGTTTTCCTAATTTGGTGGTTCATATCCGCTTTTTGACTCCACTCCCAGTAGTTCTAGCCCCTCCCCGCTAAAGCGCGCCATCAGCGACGCCCCGACTAGTGGTTTCGAAAGCTCTTGTTGCCATAAAAGGCTCAACCGGGACCATTAGGAACAAGGATTTGATGCGATTCTTTTTGGTTCGGTGCTGTTCGTTGGGCTTTTCCGAGTCTAAGTACCGTCGTTGTATGGGCTGCTGGAGCTTCGAAAACGTCGCAGCTGGCGGCCAGCCTTTCGAGGTTGGATTCCTTCATAGCTGGGCTGGTGGTCATGCGCACGGACAGCAGAAGGTTCAAGAATGCGTTCAACGTGCACTTGAAGCACGCGAAGCCACGCCAGTACTACAATAGGGTGTTTGCTTGGTTTTCTCTGTCACATTCTCATCTCGGTTGCCATCACTCCGCCTATTCTCAGTGTTTATGATACAGACCGTGCACATCGTCATGTCCTACTCTGTGCTGCTCTGGCGCAATATTTTCAGCGGTGAGTAAATTGTTCTCGGCATTTCCTCGTGGCGTGGAATAACCTGTCCAATTGGAGTCTCGTTCGGCACTTATCGACCAGGAATTCATGTTTGAGGTGTGGTCGTCGGAACCAAGCGATCCGTTTCTGTCGTTTGAATAACGTAAGCTACACGCGCCTGCTTTGTTCGTTCGAAATTCCATCCTTGTCTCAGCTTTTATCTGGGTGTTCTGATGCACCATTTGGGTCACTGTGGCTGCGGCGGGTTTCGTATCTTACTACTGGCTTGACCACCGCCACGTTTAACCTACGCGTCGCCAGGTGTGCCGGCCATGGGCACGCGGCCGTCGGGTCTCGAGGAACGCGATGGAGAAATTTGTCTACAACGTAAATGGGCCGCTTTACGGATTAATGGCAAGGCCGCCATACCTGTACCAAGGGCAACCCAAAACCCGGGAAATTCACAGCGCTACCAAAATTCGTCGGTGAAGCGAGCAACCCGAAGGATCACCGGGAAAAGAGCAGCTGGTTTTTGGAGGTACCCGATCCAGCTTGATGAACGATGGGACCAAATCGGATGTACTTGTGGAAAATGAGTTGGCTAGCCTGCCTCCGGCTTGCCTGGTAGCATCACCGCCACCGCTCTTCGGTAAAACCCCGAATTGTTGGTGCGGAGGGCGCGTGCCGCGGTCGGTGCCTGACGGCTTTGCGTTTCCTCAAGAAACGTTGGTGGTGATCACGCTTGACCGTCGTTGTGCTATGGTCACAAGCTTCCCTAACCTGGAATCCCATGTTGTTGCAAACGAACACCGTTGCGCGACCAACTCAGCGCTAGTGTTCCTCGGCACAAAACACGTATCCCATCCGCGCTCCTGGGTACATGCCAGCCCTGCTGCATGAGGAAACTCAGCACCGGAGTTCTGATAGCGATACATACTTCTTATGAAATATACCATCCGCCTTTGAAGAATAGTTTCCTGCCGTTTTATCCCTACCTCAACAGTTGCATCCTTACCACACGGCGTATATAGAACTCGGTGCGCAAAGGTTTTCTGAGGTGCTTCCAGCGAAACACGTTGCACCTATTGTCTACCCGTTGTTCACCAGCCGTTCGCCTCCCTGCTCGTTACTGTCAGTGGATGTTTTCCCTGTCGCAGGACGTTGCTGGCGACGATGGCGGCCATCAATGCGGGTTGCGTGGAAGGCAACGGTGAGTGACGTGCCTGACGCTTACGTGGTAGCAAGCAGTGGCCCTCCGCCATCGGTCACGACTGGTTTTGGAATCTGTCTTCGTTTGCCACGCATCGTTTGACAGCATGCACCGACTTGCGCACGGCTTTGCCTCACGTACTATCACGACTGCGATTCGGTCTCTCTCGTTCCCAAGGTTGCTTTGCTGTAGTACATGCTGGTTTGAACGCGAGAAGGTGATTTCTACAGTAGTACCTCCCAGTCACGTTTGCCGAGAAAACGTGGCATCTCGAGAACACCGGGTACGACACGCGAGGTAGGGTGCCTCATCGCGACTGTGCACTCACGACCTTGTTGCCGCAAGTTCCCGAGAGGTCGGTTACGAACAACCAGACGGCGTGGGCCGTGTCCCTAATCATCACCTATCATTTTTCGCATGGCCGCTCGTTCTCACGTGTCGACGTTTCCGCGGGTGCTCTTACCGCTTCGTTCCGTGCAGTGGTGGTTGACATGCCATCGGGTTTGAAGTGCGCGTGGTACAACCTGACGCACCCTGCTCAGTTTGCGATACTGCTTCTGGTGAGTGCAGCCCAACATCATTTTGAGTCGGATGCCATGTACGCGGCATGCCCCACGACAAACAACCCACGTTTTGCGTTCATCATGCCGGACACCGATGTATTGACTGCCGCTGATTCGGATTCATCATGTTTTGTCTCCTAACCGGTCAACGTGTCTTGAAGACTCGAGTCGATGTCGATGACTGAGCCGTGTTCGCGTTCATGACTTGCGCGGGTTTCGACGCAGATGGTGGGTCTCGTGAGTTTTGTCAACCGGCTATTCAACGAGGCTGATAAGGTGATGTACACTCGATTGTCCCGCGCCACCGACGCTTGGATGGACGAGATGAGGCATACACGCCGGGGGCATCAGCCGGTGGCAACCTAAAATGTTCCACGAGACGGGGATGACTGACGTTGAATATTCGGGGCTCGAGGCATGTTATCTTAACCATGGCGTTCGTCGTGATGTAAGCCAGGGACCACGGTGTACGGAGAGGAAGAGCTAAGAACATGTCATCTAGTTCGCACGCCTGAGGACCCGTCAAAGCCACTCACTCTGAGAACCGAGCTGGGGTACGTCCAAACTTGCATGATTCTAACACATTAAGCATCGGAGTGAATTGCATTGCTGGTTGCACCTTGCAGAACGTGCTAGAGATCCGCCAACATGTAGCCATGCGAACCCGCGCTATTAGTTTCAGGAGGGGAGCGACTGGTGTGCGAAAAGCCGTTCACGTGGCAGCGGGGTGCTTGAATTTTTTGTGAATTTTTTTTTCTCTTGAGACGAAGGATGTACCACAACATGGACGCGGGGTACGGCAAAAAGCCTTAGTGCTGTTGTAGACGGAAGCAAGCGCACGATCGGGTGTGACCTCCTCGCCTCTTCGTTTCCTACACGACATAGCACACTTTTGACGATTCACGTGGACAGTAACTCGGGGGCACCCCGTTCAGCGCTCGTTTGCTCTTCTAGGTTGCGATCCGACCGCAGTTGTCATTTTTTGTTTTGTTGGGGGTGTCAATCCATCTAGTCGGATATCACTAGATTCTTCACTCAAAGTTGAAAAGTCGATGACACCGATTTCGGTTCGGCGTGAATGCGCTGGCATTTAAGTAGACCAAGTTGGCAGACTGAGCGCTCGTCTGTGGCGACTCGCTTGTATGTTCGTTGTTGTCGAATCAAGCACCGCCCGTTCCAAATATCGACCGCAGCACCCACGACACACCGGTATCCATAGATAGTGTTGTTCGTCGGGTGGGAATATCGTCCCGCCGATGATGTGCTGTTCTACTGTTCGCTACAACCAAACGCCTTGCTGTCACCAGTTCATCTTGCGGTTCAGCAGTACGTTACGGGGGCTAGGGGCTTTCTTCCAATCCTTGTGTGAAGGAATCTACCGTTTAGAGCTCTTGAACTCTTTGCAAACCAATCAACCGGTGCCATATTCTGCAGCGGTCTGCCGGTTACGTAGCTACGTCGGCTTGGACCATCTGTCAATTCCACTCGCCGGGACAATGGGCTGAAACAACGACTAGCGAATGATGTTCGAACAGAGGAAATGGGTCCGGGGGGAGGGGATGAGTGACAAACCTTGCATGCCACGTTGTCTCCACAGTACGAAACGCGTGTCCTTCACGTGATCCGTTGGCTAGAGGGAGGCATTCCGCTCTTCTTTGTACCTATGTAGCATAACGATCGAATTTTTGATGACCCGGTGTCTGCACTTGTCGAGGGTTATCAATTTCGGGGTTCCCCGACCTTCGTTGCTTTTGCTCCGAGTCAGGCAATTCGTAGGCCTGCCTTGTTTTGAGCGTATATATTGTTTGTCGTACGTTGGAAGATGCTTCTCTTGACGCAGGTAATAATGGAGGTGGTCAGGACTGTGACTTTGCCTGTGCACACAGGCAAACCGTACACGATCTCTCCTTGACCGTTCAGTATTATGTTGACGTTACACGAGCTATGGACATCCCCTCATGGTTGTGACTCCGCACGCACCCCGCTTCCTGGGTTCTGCGTAACTAGGAGCCTGGCGATCCGAAAATTGTAACAGGGATGGTAAACCTGGCTTGTGGACTTTCAGTCACACAGTTCGGACCCCCATTGCCTCTACATGGCACACCCTCCGGCGCTCCAAGCACACGCTCCGGTGTATTGAACATCGACCTCCACCATTCACCATCCGACAGGCGTTTTTGACCCTTAGTCGGTTCTATTAAGGCTTTATCGCACCCAACCAATCAGTGTTTCTGTCGGGGAGTGAAGGGCATGCGAAGCGTCAGAAAGGGCTAGGGACGCACGGCGTAGAAGAGCTAACCACCAAACTTGACTTGAACAGGGAGAACAGCAGGACACGTTTTCCTCTCGTTCCGTAGCAGTCGCTTCCTATACCCCCGCTTTGTTCGGACCGCACAGCCTTGACGTTTTCTTGTTGACTTACAGTACCTCATGCAAGGTTGGTTATCTCGCATATAAACTGGCACGAGTAACTGCTCGCGTAAGACGCCCCGCCCAATGCACGGCCGAGGCATCCCCATGCGCACACATGGGACGCGTGAGACTCCCCATAGGACGCGTGGGACCACGTGGGAACGTCCACCGTCCATTGGCCGTTATAAGTAAAGGTCCACACGCCCCAAGGAATAAGGAACAATCGCGACGAAATACAAGCACAGGCAGCCACATGAACAAGAAACGACTTGCTGAAACAGGACACACATGTTTGGCCACCTAGGCCAACTTGAAGTCAAGAGTGAGAGACGCAAGACAGACGATATTTTTGACACCCATAGCACGCATGGAATAAGTGAATAATGCTGGGTGAACTAGTCATTACCCCAACTGCCGTACAATACCACTGTCTGCGTATTAGGCACGAAATCGTCGTGACGCTGCCGTCTGCGTGAGGCGTTAGCTCCGCGCAACGAGGTGGATGTTCAGGAGAGTTCTCAATTCTGCTCCCAGCTTCGACACTTACCGTAGGACTTTCCTGGCATCCGTCATGTTCGCGGTGAAGTAGATTGGTTCCGGCTGGCCCACGATCGAACTGGTCGCGAAGTTTGTGCCCGCACTGCCCTTTGGGTGCCTGCTGTTTCAGGTCGTCGTCTTCGCACAAAACAGCGATCGCTCGTCTGTTATCCCGTCAAACCAGGTTGTTCTTTACCCCGATGCGAATATCAACCTACTTTGTAGCGCCGCAGTCAGATGATACTCTCTCACGCACCACCGCTTTGTTGTCGACCTGAATGTGGGGCATATGGGGTAGTTTTTTTCTTCTTCGCCGCGGTTGAGATGTTTACTGCTGTCGCGCTGAACGCCCGTCCTTTGTGCGGCAATCGTGAGGTTGCGAGTGAGCACCGTTCCACCGAACCGTTCAGCCAGGTTTCACGATCTCCTGTTCAATCGTGTACAGAGTCGAGTGAAACTGTTCCGTTCACCACCATCACGCGCGATTCGATTTCGTCCGGAGGGGCTCCTGGTTGAAGTATATCAAATGTGTTATACCATCATCATTGCTTCATGGACGGCCTCTGCTTCGTGATGTAGTCTAATGCTTTCTCTCTCGAGCGGGTGCCATGTCACGCACATCCGCCAAGTATCTCTACCACTCCCTGGAGGGCTTGTGTCGATGAGCTGCTTACTCACCGCCGATTCTCACTGCCTGGAGCTTGAACCGTGGCCGATAGGTGTTCGCTAACGCACCAGTGTCACTCATCACCTGCTGGCATTTGCTTGGCATGTGGAGTAGACACGTGGGTATGTAAACCCGTCCGCATTTTTCGAAGCATTGTGTAGTCCCGACGCATGCCATCCATGTTCAATTGTGGGTCGAGGTTGCTTGCATCCCACGGTAAAGGCATGAATTGAATTTGTTTTGGCTCACTCCCCTGAGTCAACTACATATGTGAATCATTTTGCTTGCCATTGGCGTCCCTCCATCTGTACATCGGTCTGGCCAAGAGGTCGTCGGGGTACAGGGAACCGACCCTGGACCCTTCCAGCGATGTCTCGATAAACCATGCTTTCATCGCCGTGCCCACCCCAACACTAAACTAGAACTGGTCGTCCTACCGAACTTGCTTCCACAACAGCGGTTCCGCCGCCCAAATCGAAAAATCAGAAGAGCTTCCTGGGCAGCGCGTCGACCGAGTGACATATTTCAGGACTCCTAGAGAGGACAGTTTTCCGACCATCACCGTTTCATGACTAACCGAGTTTTTATTACTTCACTGGTCGTGTGATGATCTTTGGCGTACCGGCAGCAAGACAGTAGTGGGCACGCTCCTGCCCCCTTGCCCCCCCCGGCATGCGATGTCGACTTAATCTCACAGCATCAATTGTTTTGACTTGGATCGCATCACCGAGCCCTTCCTGTCCTGCCTTCCGACATTGCATGTGTAACCAACCCCCACCACCGTGCATGTCGTGTCGAAGCCGATGAACCGTATGAGGAAATAATTCGGCATGCAATTCGGCATGCATATGTGATGCATGCATGCGAGCCACAGGTGCGTGCCAGCAAATTGGATGGATCGCCTGAGCCATCGTCTAAACAACGGCAACGCTCCCAAGATCGCGTAGTAGTGCCAATTGAGCCAATAACCCTCGCGATGTCACCCTCTGTCGACTCCAAAACATACAGAGACCTTCGACAAAACGCCATATACGACTACACGTTCAGCACGACCTTTCAATGCAGATCCTCGTTGTACGCACGCGGCCGGCCACACCTCGGCATTGCGTGCTGACGGCAACCCCCGCCCTGGTTACTGCCGTCTTTTCCGTATGATGGCCGGTTCGTGCACCCTAACCTGGACAGCGGCACCTCATTTTGGCGATACTGATCATGCCCTGTCGGCTGTCCCCCCTCCTCCGGTGTTTGCCATCGGGGTTGGGTTTCCGTCGCTTGGCAACGACGGTGTAAAACAAGCCCCCCCCCTCGGTGTTTGCCATCGGGATTGGGGTTTCGTCGCTTGGCAACGACGTTGTAAAACAAGCCAATTCACTTCGTGAACTCGGCAACCAGTTTACCGTTTGTTGTTTTTTACCTCTGTTTTTTTTTGGCGGAAACCATGATGGTGGTCGAGTAGATCATGTTGTGCGGGGTGGAGAANAGCCAATTCACTTCGTGAACTCGGCAACCAGTTTACCGTTTGTTGTTTTTTACCTCTGTTTTTTTTTGGCGGAAACCATGATGGTGGTCGAGTAGATCATGTTGTGCGGGGTCGAGAAGCCTCACTCCGCGAAAGGGGGATGATCGCACCACGTTGTGTTGAAATGGTCAAGCACCCTCGAGGCAGTTACACAGTGCTTACAACTGTCTCAGGAAGTGAAAGCACTAGAAAATAATTTAATTCATCCGCAGCTGTCATCCGTACGCATGGAAGTATGCACAAGATGCCGAACACCCTTAGCAGGATGCAGCGCACCCTTCATGCAACTCGCCGAATATCTCACGGCGCTTCGCGCTTGATGATGTGAGAGCCTGGTCCGGTGAGAACCCGGCGTGCTCCGTCCCGGCTTTGTAGGGATGCGAGGTCAATGGTCTAACCACTACGGCATGCACGACTATGAGTACACCCCCCTGCTGACTGTGCTGCGCACAGAACTCCGACTTGTTGCTGCCATATGTACCGAATGACGGCTGCTTCGTGCATCCCGATGGCCGCACCTCATGCAACGGACGTTAACGATATCCTCCTGACTGTGCTCAGCGCAGAACTCCGCCTTTTTGCCAAGAGCTTTCAGCATATGACGGATGCTTAAAGCATCCTGGATGGCCGCATCTCTTGCTGACGACATCAACCATACCCCGTTTCGCATGCTGAGAACATAACTCCGGCTTCTTGCTGCCGTCCATACCATGTTACGCTGGTTTCAGGCATCCCGCATGCCCGCACCTTATTTTGACGACATCGACCATACCCTCCTGACTGTGCTCAGCGGAGAACTCCGCCTTTCTGCCGAGGTGTGTTCCATACGATGGGTGCTTCATGCACCCTGGATGGGCGCACCTCCTGGTGACGATGTTGACCATACCCTCCTGGCTGTGCTGAGCGCAGAACTCCGCCTTGTTGCTGCCGTCTATACTATTGCACGCGTGTATTTTGCACCCCCGATGGCCGTATCTCTTGCTGACGACGTTGGTCATCCCTGGTTCGGCGTGTTTTGAGCAGAACTCCGCCTTCTTGCTGCAACCATTGCCGTACGATGGCGACGTTGTGCAGCCGTCCTCCTGGCCGAACCGTCTTGTCCGGCCCTTGGGTCGGGCGGTCGTACGCGTTGGCTACAGGAACACACGGTGCAAAACATTCGGCGGTTAAAGGGCCTTTATCACAGCAAATATGCCGGCGACATCGGGTAGCAGCGAAGGAAAATTCGATCAACCACGCAACACCTCAAAACGGACATTCCTGCCTCCGGTTATTGTTGTTCAGTCTTGCCCACGCTGTGCGTGTTGCACGTCCGTGGGGGACGTTGGAGTCAGTAGGTTTCTTCTCACGCCAGAACCTCGCTTACAAAGCCTATTCTCCAGGTAGCCTTCAACAGACTTGCGGGAAAAATGGGAACGTATCCAAAAATGAGAATTGGCGTTTTTCTTCAGAACCATCGGGTGTATCACAGAACCAAAATTATCCTGCGAAACCCCTTCGCCCCAGCTGTGAGATGAGCTCATCAGAACCGCCATGCTCCACATCACGCCTTCTCACGGGCGCAAAAAGCGATTCGTGCTGGTTTCGACCTGATTTCTCGCGATGCTGGCTACCTCGG